GGGTTGTTTTGTATGTCTGCTGATTCAAGAACTGACCTGAATGCAAGACGTGTTTATTATATCATTTTGCATTTTGCTTGCAACATGAGCATTGGTCTGAGTGATGCGCCTCTCTGTAGTGTGGGGGTGAAGCTGTTGTTTGTGTTGTCCTCTCTGTAGTGTGGGGGTGAAGCTGGTGTTTGTGTTGTCCTCTCTGTAGTGTGGGGTGAAGCTGGTGTTTGTGTTGTCCTCTCTGTAGTGTGGGGGTGAAGCTGGTGTTTGTGTTGTCCTCTCTGTAGTGTGGGGGTGAAGCTGGCGTTTGTGTTGTCCTCTCTGTAGTGTGGGGGTGAAGCTGGCGTTTGTGTTGTCCTCTCTGTAGTGTGGGGGTGAAGCTGGTGTTTGTGTTGTCCTCTCTGTAGTGTGGTGGTGAAGCTGTTGTTTGTGTTGTCTTCTCTGTAGTGTGGGGGTGAAGCTGGTGTTTGTGTTGTCCTCTCTGTAGTGTGGGGGTGAAGCTGGTGTTTGTGTTGTCCTCTCTGTAGTGTGGGGGTGAAGCTGGCGTCTGTGCTGTTAGTCGCTAAAGTGTTGTGTTATCTGGATCTAACTCTGTATCTTCTGGATATTTATTCATGATTTTAACTCATTTAACATATTTTTTCCTTAAGTCTGATTTAGGTTATCTTCTTGAGGTTATCTTGAGATGATTTCGGGGCTTTAGTGTCAACGCGGCCCGGTCCTCGACCAGGCCTCCACCCCCAGGAAGCAGCCCGTGACAGCTGACTAACACCCAAGGTACCAATTTTACTGCTAGGTAACAGAGGCATAGGGTGAAAGAAACTCTGCCCATTGTTTCTCGCCGGTGCCTGGGATCGAACCCGGGACCACAGGTACAGTGTCCTGTCCGCTCGGCCGACCGGCTCCCATTGATAATCATAAGGTTGGTAATCATAAGAAAATGTTTTTGTGATAAGTTTCAAAGTGGCGTTTCAAGTCGCTGGCTTTGTAATGACTGAGTGGCACTTGGCAGGTAAAGCACAGAGGCTTATCTCCTTTAACTGTGATTTAACTGTTAACTGTGAATGCAAACTCTTCCTCCTCCTCCTCCCACTCTGGCTCAAAATTTAAAGTTTTGATCTTCATATTTCGGTTTCTTACGATTTGTTGAAGCCGTCTTCCCTATCAAATTTTTCACACACTCTTTAAATAAGATTTATATATGGATCTGCACAGTTCAACGTCTTTACTGACATACAGAATGTGCTTCCATAGGTACGGGAATATTTTATATAGCCGCAAGATTCTTGCTCTGGATTCGGGTCAAAATTTATAGATTATTCGAATTATTCGGGATCTAAACATTCCCTCTAATGCGTTATGTGTGCTTTCCTCCGAGGCTACGGGTCCCCTTCTTCCAGCCTCGAATTATCTACAAAAAATCACGAGCCGCAGTTTAGCAACCCCTGTTATATATATATATATATATATATATATATATATATATATATATATATATATATATATATATATATATATATATATATATATATATATATATATGTCGTACCTAGTAGCCAGAACGCACTTCTCAGCCTACTATGTAAGGCCCGATTTGCCTAATAAGCCAAGTTTTCCTGAATTAATATATATTCTCGAATTTTTTTTCTCATGAAATGATAAAGCTACCCATTTCATTATGTATGAGGTCAATTTTTTTTTATTGGAGTTAAAATTAACGTAGATATTTGACCGAACCTAACCAACCCTACCTAACCTAACCTAACCTATCTTTATAGGTTAGGTTAGGTTAGGTAGCCGAAAAAGTTAGGTTAGGTTAGGTAGGTTTGGTAGTCGAAAAGCAATTAATTCATGAAAACTTGGCTTATTAGGCAAATTGGGCCTTGCATTTTAGGCTCAGAAGTGAGTTCTGGCTACTAGGTACGACATATATATATATATATATATATATATATATATATATATATATATATATATATATATATATATATATATATATATGATGGGTTCTACTGGGTGAAATTTGTTGTCTGATTTTTCCATTAATCACGTTTCGCAGTTTGAAAAAAAAGTATTGCATACAACTTCCTTACATAAATATGAGAATGTTATTTTCCTACGCCAACTTTCTATGTCACCTCTCGCCAACATCTATGTGCATCATCTATGCCACACCTCTCTACACCACCTCTCTATACCACCTCTCTATACCACCTCTCTATACCACCTCTCTACACCACCTCTCTACACCACCTCTCTACACCACCTCTCTACACCACCTCTCTACGCCACCTCTCTACGCCACCTCTCTACACCACCTCTCTACGCCACCTCTCTACACCACCTCTCTACACCACCTCTCTATACCACCTCTCTACACCACCTCTCTACACCACCTCTCTACACCACCTCTCTACACCACCTCTCTACACCACCTCTCTACACCACCTCTCTACACCACCTCTCTACGCCACCTCTCTACACCACCTCTCTATACCACCTCTCTACACCACCTCTCTACACCACCTCTCTACGCCACCTCTCTACACCACCTCTCTACACCACCTCTCTATACCACCTCTCTACACCACCTCTCTACACCACCTCTCTACACCACCTCTCTACACCACCTCTCTATACCACCTCTCTACGCCACCTCTCTACACCACCTCTCTACACCACCTCTCTACACCACCTCTCTACACCACCTCTCTATACCACCTCTCTACACCACCTCTCTACACCACCTCTCTACGCCACCTCTGAGTGACCGAGTTTAATCGCATATATTATAACAGTTAAAGAGGATGTACAGATTTGCAGGCAGTAATAAAAATTTTTTAAATGGTCGATGTAATGGAGTTTATTATAGTTAACAAAAAATAGATTTCAAATTAACGCAATGGACCATATTATGGGAAACAGAACAGGAGGACAGTGATTGTGTGGTGGGTGTGGTGGATATATCAGGAGGACAGTGATTGTGTGGTGGATATATCAGGAGGACAGTGATTGTGTGGTGGATATATCAGGAGGACAGTGATTGTGTGGTGGATATATCAGGAGGACAGTGATTGTGTGGTGGATATATCAGGAGGACAGTGATTGTGTGGTGGATATATCAGGACAGTGATTGTGTGGTGGATATATCAGGAGGACAGTGATTGTGTGGTGGATATATCAGGAGGACAGTGATTGTGTGGTGGATATATCAGAATGTCAGTGATTGTTGAAGGGGATATATGAGGATACCAGCTAGTTTTGAGTGGATAGACCAGATTACCAGGGTTGGTGGATTGCATCGATCAGGTGTTCTTCTACATCTACTACCGCCACTGAATCTACCTTCTCCCCTTACTTCTACCCCCCCTTTCCCTACATCTACCCCCTCCGCTTCATCTACCCCCTCTCCTACATCTTCCCCCTTCGCTTCATCTACCCCCTCTCCTACATCTACCCCCTCCTTTTCATCTACCCCCTCTCCTACATCTACCCCCTCCGCTTCATCTACCCCTCTTCCCTGCCTCCACCCTCCATGCCTGTTATTCAATCCCCCGGTAACTATCCCAGGGTAATCCCCACGGTGGTTGGATTACCCTGGATAATCCAACCACCTCATCCCACTGTCCCTGTGGATCTGCTCATTGTGGCTCCTAACCTTAAGAGCTATGAAGCAAAACATGACTATGTGGCTACGAGATTGGTTCCCCCTAACCTAGAGACAAGGGTCAGGATTTATCAAGTATTTACGTGTCTATTTACGAAACCAGTTCATCTTTCCTGGCTCATGGCGGCATAGACTCTGTTTCATAAATAGTTTACATGTTTCCAAACTTCACAACCCATTGTTATTATTATTGTTGACAACCTTGTAGAGTTTCGGAGCTCAAAACTGTTTAATAAATGCAAACTAAGCGGCGATGATTGAGGAGAGATGTAGAGGTTTCGTAAGTGGACTTCTAAGCCATTGAGATTATATAGCACTGGGAAGGGGTCAGGATAAGGATTTGGGATGGGACGGGGGAAGGGAATGGTGCCTAACCACTTGGACGGTCGGGTATTGAACGCCGACCCGCATGAAGCGGGACCGTCACACTATCGTCAAGCCAAACGTCGAGAAGCTAGAAATAAGAAGCTAAGGTGGAAGCTAGAAGATCGGAATTACAAAGAAGGCAGCGAAAAGAGGAGTAAAAGTAGAATGCAAATGGAAGGAGAATAATGTCTATATGTATTATAAGCTGCAAGGCAGTTGGAAGCCATTCAACTAGGCAGGAGCTGACGCCTGAAACACGTGTCACCAGATATTAACGTCTCCCTGGGGGCACATATAGGCACGTACAAACAGGTTCAGATATTTACATAAGTACCCCATGATATCTCCTCCAATAATCTTCCAATTTTTTGGCTGCCCATTTGCGTCCAATCCCTCCACACCCCTCCTCTACCACTGTACCAGCGGGGTCCACCGCCACGTTGTACGACCCCCAACCAACCCACCAACCCACCAACCAGCCAACCCACCAACCAACCCACCAACCAGCCAACCAACCCACCAGCCAGCCAACCAACCCACCAACCCACCAACCAGCCAACCAACCCACCAACCAGCCACCCAACCCACCAGCCAACCAACCAGCCAGCCAGCATCTGATATGAATGCTAACGCCAGATTAAAAAGGCCTCCTCACAGGAGCAGAAGTTACGGGGCGCGAGGTGCCAAGCCAGACAAGCTTCTCAGTGTCGCAGCCTCGCGGCGGGCCGAGCCGGGCCGGGCCGGGCCGGGCCGGGTTAAATGCACTCTCTCCATCAGGACAAATGAGAGGACTGAACTCCCAGGCCAAGAAAACGCGCGTAATTTTAAACTGTCGCGGCGTAATGGAACCGGAGCCAAGAGGGAGAGGAGAGGGGAAGTCTGGGTGGGTAGGAGGGGGAAAGGGGTAAAAGGAGGGGAGAGCGAGGATGTGAGGGGGCGAGGGGATATGGAAAGGGAGGATAATGGGAAAGGAAGGATGTATGGTGAATATCAAAGGAAGAAAAAGATGAAAAAGCAAAGGAATAAAGAGGAAAAGGAGGACTTTAGAGGGAAAGTGAAGACAGGGAGAGGAAGATAACTAGGATAAGAATGTAAGTAAAGCTGACCGAATTGTGGGAAAGAAATTTTAGAAGAAAGGCAAGAAAAAGGAAAAGCCAGAAAGGCGTCAGGGAGGAATATAGGAAGACATATATGAAGGTAAGGGAAAAGGAAAGGCTGTAATGTAAGACAGAAAGAAGGGATGGACGAGAAAGAGAAAAGAAGTAAATTTAGACATTATGGAATGGAAGAACGTAGAAAGAGAGTAGGAAGAGAGAGGAGAGTAGAGAAAGAGAGAGAGAGAGAGAGAGAGAGAGAGAGAGAGAGAGAGAGAGAGAGAGAGAGAGAGAGAGAGAGAGAGAGAGAGAGAGAGAGAGAGAGAGAGAGAGAGAGAGAGAGAAGGAAAGGGAAAGAAGAAGACACACTGGGAAAGGTTCGCTAAAGGATATGGAATGTAGAACCAATTTCCTCGTAACTTTTCCCACTTCCTGTCTTGTCCCATTGTACGCGACGTTCCTCGCCAGAGTGAAGGGTTAAATCTACACTTAACATTGCCTCTACAGGGAGAACATTGCAACGATTCCATTGCCCAAATGTTGCCTGTCGCTATCAACAAACACCTGTGACGTCACCCAGATATAGAGATAGAGAGACAGACAGACACACACACACAGACACACACACACAGACACATACACACAGACACATACACACAGACAAAGATACACAGAGGAAAATACAAAACAAAAGTAATGTTTGTTTACTTCGGTTGAGAGTTGTAGCTGGTGTACCATCAACTGTGGTCGGTGTACCGTCAACTGTGGTCGTGGACCATCACCTGTGGTCGGTGTACCGTCAACTGTGGTCGTGGACCGTCAACTGTGGTCGGTGTACCATCAACTGTGGTCGTGGACCGTCAACTGTGGTCGTGGACCGTCACCTGTGGTCGGTGTACCGTCAACTGTGGTCGTGGACCGTCAACTGTGGTCGGTGTACCATCAACTGTGGTCGTGGACCGTCAACTGTGGTCGGTGTACTGTCACCTGTGGTCGGTGTACCGTCAACTGTGGTCGGTGTACCGTCACCTGTGGTTGGTGTACCGTCAACTGTGGTCGGTGTACCGTCACCTGTGGTCGGTGTACCGTCAACTGTGGTCGGTGTACCGTCACCTGTGGTCGGTGTACCGTCAACTGTGGTCGGTGTACCGTCAACTGTGGTTGGTGTACCGTCAACTGTGGTCGGTGTACCGTCAACTGTGGTCAGTGTACCGTCAACTGTGGTCAGTGTACCGTCAACTGTGGTCGGTGTACCGTCAACTGTGATCGGTGTACAGTCATCTGTGGTCGGTGTACCGTCAACTGTGGTCAGTGTACCGTCAACTATGGTCGGTGTACCGTCAACTGTGGTCGGTGTACCGTCAACTATGGTTAGTGTACCGTCAACTGTGGTCGGAGTACCGTCAACTGTGGTCGGTGTACCGTCAACTGTGGTCGGTGTACCGTCAACTGACTGTGGTCGGTGTACCGTCAACTATGGTTAGTGTACCGTCAACTGTGGTCGGAGTACCGTCAACTGTGGTCGGTGTACCGTCAACTGTGGTCGGTGTACCGTCAACTGACTGTGGTCGGTGTACCGTCAACTGTGGTCAGTGTACCGTCAACTGTGGTCGGTGTACCGTCAACTGTGGTCGGTGTACCGTCAACTATGGTTAGTGTACCGTCAACTGTGGTCGGAGTACCGTCAACTGTGGTCGGTGTACCGTCAACTGTGGTCGGTGTACCGTCAACTATGGTCAGTGTACCGTCAACTGTGGTCGGTGTACCGTCAACTGTGGTCGGTGTACCGTCAACTGTGGTCAGTGTACCGTCAACTGTGGTCAGTGTACCGTCAACTATGGTCGGTGTACCGTCAACTGTGGTCAGTGTACCGTCTACTGTGGTCAGTGTACCGTCAACTGTGGTCAGTGTACCGTCAACTGTGGTCGGTGTACCGTCAACTGTGGTCGGTGTACCGTCACCTGTGGTCGGTGTACCGTCAACTGTGGTCGGTGTACCGTCAACTGTGGTCGGTGTACCGTCAACTGTGGTCGGTGTACCGTCAACTATGGTCAGTGTACCGTCAACTGTGGTCGGTGTACCGTCAACTGTGGTCGGTGTACCGTCAACTGTGGTTGGTGTACCGTCAACTGTGGTCGGTATACCGTCAACTGTCGTCGGTGTACCGTCAACTGTGGTCGGTGTACCGTCAACTGTGGTCGGTGTACCGTCAACTGTGGTCGGTGTACCGTCAACTGTGGTCGGTGTACCGTCAACTGTGGTCGGTGTACCGTCAACTGTGGTCGGTGTACCGTCAACTGTGGTCGGTGTACCGTCAACTGTGGTCGGTGTACCGTCAACTAACACAGCCTTGTTTAGACTGTACCACCTCAGATTTAACTCTTGTCACATTGTAAGAATTGCAGGATTTTGTGGTGGAAATAAAAGCACAGCAGTTCTTTACCTTTCTAACAATTTTTAGCTTTTTCTAACCTTTCTGGTTAGAGAAAACAGTTGCAATTATTACGTTTCTGGTTAGGCAAATGCTTAGGATTTTTGTACGGAGTGTCAAGAGATGAAAAAGGGTTATGTACCGTCTCTTATTGTCGTCCTCAGTATTAGTCAAGACGTAGGCCAGAACACGACGTACCTCCTCACCCTTCTTGCAGGTCGGGGGTTCGATTCCCGATGGTGCAAGTGGTTGGTTGGTTGGCCACAGTTCGTTCGCATCATCTTCGTATCCCAGCTTCTATAGCCCTCATATTCCTTCCGGTTATTTCTAAAAGAGGGAATTCTTGTTTGTATGTTCGTACAAGGGTTGGCGGCCCAGCTTTGCAGGGGGAATGGTATGGGATACGGGACGCACATAGGCTGGTTGGAGTCGCCAAAATTCACGAGGAAACAGCGTGCCACAGAGACGCATTGACTCCCACGACAATTTTTTGGGCACGCCGCTGATATAACGCCATGCTAAATAATTTAAAAACGAAGAGTTCAAAACAATTATTTTTGTTCTCATAGCATTATTTACTGATTTCGGGAAAATGAACAATTAATTTTCAGTTTATTTATACTTTGGCCGTAGCGCCATAAAACATGTTACTACAATGGAGCCCCGTCTCCTGTAGGAATGTGAGCCCCGTCTCCTGTAGGAATGTGAGCCCCGTCTCCTGTAGGAATGTGAGCCCCGTCTCCTGGAGGAATGGAGCCCCGTCTCCTCCCAGCAATACGGGTAACTATCTGATTTAGACATTTTTCAATAATTATAAACACGTACTGACATGTGTTCTTATTATGTTGGGAGAGGGAGAAGAAAGGGAGAGGTGGAGGAGGAGGTTTTAAGAGGTGGAATAGGAGGTAGGAAGAGGAAACATTGAGGGGGAGGGGAACCCCAATACATAACACAGGACCTAATACATAATACAGGACCTAACACATAATGTAAGACTTAATACATATTGCAGTACAAGACCTATTGTATTATGGTCAGTCTCAACAACATTAAGGTTGGACGTTAAGGTAATAGTCAAGTTTGCTTCCAAGAATATATTGGGAGTGTATGTGATGAATTAATGGTAGAGTTAGGGAGATGCAGTCATGCAGAGATTCAGGGCGACAGTAATGGTGAGATTCAGGGAAATAGGAATGATAAGATTCAGTCATTCAGAGATTCAGAGACACACATTTATGTAGAGATTTAATGTGCGTGTGTGTGTGAGCATGTGTGCGTGTATATGTGATTATATTTTCTTCATACAGGTATCTATATAAATAAAACTGTAAATGTTCGTTTGTTCAAAATCGCTGATCTCCGAAAGTTCTTCACCGATTGCTTTGAAATGTTCACACAACGTTCCATTAGCATTTGAGCTGCTTTTTATATACATACAATATAGATGTCATGTCTGTGACGGGAAAAAACATGCTTTTTTGAAAAACTGTGTTTTTCATGTGAGGGAAATCTTCGAAACCTCTTTACCGGTTGCTTTGAAATTCTGACACAACGTTCCATTCGAATAGGCGAGTGTTTTTATATACCTACTATATACATGCCTCACTTGTGAAAGGAAAAAAAACATTTTTTTTTTAACAGCGCCATCTGTTGGACGTAAGAGCAACACACACTGTAATCTCCAAAAGTTCTTCACCGATTACTTTGAAATTTTGACATAACGTTCCATTCGAATACGTGTGTGTTTTTATGTGCCTACTATATAGATGCCACATCTATGACAGATAAAAACAGGTTACGTGCAACAGCGCCATCTGTTGCACGTAATAGCAACACTCGCTATACTAAATATGTTATGATTCCATTTCAATGTTTCTGATTGCATTGATAAATTTAATTTTCATAGATTTCGACTTATTTTCGTTTTAATTTAATTATTTTGTGTGACATTGCGTTGAAATTGAGCAGTGTTGTTTACCATACCGTTCATTTCGTGAGCATAGTTTATTTTTGTATTTTTTAATTTTTTTCATTTCGTTTTTTTAACTGTTTTTCATATATTTCAGCGATGGGCACTTCAGATCATTTGATGTTCCCAGTTTTTTCATGGGAACATCAGATCATTTGGGAATGCATAGGACAAGGGAGTGAGGAATGGTGGGGAGGACGAGGGGACGGGGAAGAGGGGAAGGGTGGGGAGGACTGGGAGACAGGGGAAGGTTGCTCAGCAACGCACACGCATTGCTGAGCCACAGCAGCGCGTGGCCAGGTACAGCTTATATATATATATATATATATATGTATATATATATATATATATATATATATATATATATATATATATATATATATATATATATATATATATGTCGTACCTAGTAGCCAGAACGCACTTCTCTGCCTACAATGCAAGGCCATATTTGCCTAATAAGCCAAGTTTTCATGAATTAATTGTTTTTCGACTACTTAACCTAACCTATAGAGATAGGTTAGGTTAGGTTAGGTAGGGTTGGTTAGGTTCGGTCATATATCTACGTTAATTTTAACTCCAATAAAAAAAAATTGACCTCATACGTAATGAAATGGGTAGCTTTATCATTTCATAAGAAAAAAATAAGAGAAAATATATTATTTCAGGAAAACTTGGCTTATTAGGCAAATCGGGCCATGCATAGTAGGCCGAGAAGTGCGTTCTGGCTACTAGGTACGACATATATATATATATATATATATATATATATATATATATATATATATATATATATATATATATATATTTATTTATATATATATATATGAACAGACTACTACTGACTCCTGTTAGCAGGCTCATAGAGCTTTCCCTTCCCATAGTTCATACCCCTTACGGTTTTCCCCCGGAACACTACTCGTCAATCGGGCAACAACCTGGTACCCAATTACAGCTCTCAGAACAGTGGCGAGCAGTTAAGGTTTGGCACCTAGTCAATCCTCCTTGGTCAGGATTCGAACCCAGACCAAATCGCTCGCTAAGCGCAGGGCGAGTGTGTTACCACTCCGCCACCAGGTTTTATAGTCTTGTGTGTGTGTATTCACCTAGTTGTGTTTGCGGGGGTTGAGCTTTGCTCTTTCGGCCCGCCTCTCAACTGTTTACTAACTACTTTTTTCCCACACACACACACACACCAGGAAGCAGCCCGTAACAGCTGACTAACTCCCAGGTACCTATTTACTGCTAGGTAACAGGGGCATTCAGGGTGAAAGAAACTTTGCCCATTTGTTTCTGCCTGGTGCGGGAATCGAACCCGCGCCACAGAATTACAAGTCCACGGTATCCACCAGGCTACCAGGCCCCCGTGTGTATGTGTGTGTGTGTGTGTGTGTGTGTGTGTGTGTGTGTGTGTGTGTGTGCGTGCGTGCGTGCGTGCGTGTGTGCTGTCAGCCTGTTGTCCCTGCATAATTTAGATCAGCTAATGTAGGTGAAGTTAAGACATTCCCAGTTGCCAGTTTTCACGATGTGGTAGTGAGTCTGAGCGGCCTTTTTAGTCTCTCTCTCTCTCTCTCTATCTCTCTCTCTCTCTCTCTCTCTCTCTCTCTCTCTCTCTCTCTCTCTCTCTCTCTCTCTCTCTCTCTATCTATCTCTCTATCTCTCTCTCTCTCTCTCTCTCTCTCTCTCTCTCTCTCTCTCTCTCTCTCTCTCTCTCTCTCTCTCTCTCTCTCTCTCTCTCTCTCTCTCTCTCTCTCTCTCTCTCTCTCTCTCTCTCTATCTCTCTCTCTCTCTCTCTCTCTCTCTCTCTCTCTCTCTCTCTCTCTCTCTCTCTGGTGAAGAAGAATAAGAAGCAGTCACACGGTAGAGGTCAGCGGGGCCACCTGCTTCACACTCGTATAGTTTGTCGTCTCGAGGCCACACCTGTCCCTCCTGGTGTAGGACAGGTGTGGAGGGGTTCGAGACTGGGGGTGTGGCAGAGTGAGAGTCAGATGTGTGTGGCAGTGGTGCTACAAGGGTGTGGCTGAGAGATAGGAATTTGGCATGGAGAGACGCAGGGGTGTGACAGGGTGAGAGAGAGAAGGGGTGTGACAGAGAGAGAGAGAGACAGGGGTGTGACAGGGAGGGAGAGAGAGACAGGGGTGTGACAGAGAGAGAGAGAGAGACAGGGGTGTGACAGGGAGAGAGACAGTGTGGGAGACAGGGATGCGACCAAACATGGATGCTTCCTCATCTCGTCATCTTTAATGAGCCGATATTTTAACGCTATTGACCCCCAAGTCAAAAGCCCGCAGCATCAGCAAAGTTAAGAGCACTGTAAATGTGACGGTTGTGCCACTGTAGTAAACGTTGATCTCGTCAGGTCAGCTGAGTGGTCTAAATCGAACGTTTCTGTCTTGGCTAAGCCATTTCTAATCTGACGTTTGTCACATAAAAATGAATTAGCAGAAATAATATTAATGTATTGACAATAATAATAATAATAATAATAATAATAATAATAATAATAATAATAAAAATAATAAATTCTGTATTATATATGTATTTTCCTTTTCGTGAATCTTGTGATCAAAGTATTTCAACGTTAAAAAAATAATATTTCCTGTTATTTTCACTCTCATTTCTGCCGGCAATATTGTCCTGTGAGCCACAGTCCCACTTGCAAGCTATTTTCATCCTAAAAAAGTTCGACTGTCGAGCCAACAGTCCCACTAATTTTAACTCTTAATCTTGTGGTTCCACATTAATGACGCCATTAGAAGCAATGTTCTTGATAAAAATTTCACCTCTTAATCTTAGCCTGGCGAAGCCAACCAAGAAACGTGGCAATTTGGAGTTAAAAAAAAAATTGTTTGGTGTCTGTTATTGAGAATGACAGAGAAATTACCGCGTGTTCTGCGTTTCGTGAGAACATGAGGATGAACGCAGCTTCCAAAGGCCTATTAG